GTAAAACTAACGGACATTTTGTATCCATGCATCACTGTGATTAAATAGCCTCTATCTTTTTTTTTTAATTATTATAAAAGTAATTTTTTTTAAATAATAAGAAATATAAAAAAAATGTTCAATTTAGATCTTAATTTTATAGCATAATATATCAAAGATATGCTTATTTTTAATGTTATGATGTACGGACAAAAATTGGATTTTTCTCGTAAAAATGCCCTACAGCATCATTGTCGATTTTTGTTTTCATAATAAAAATTAAATAAGATTTAATAACATTTTATTTAAATAAAATTTAATAACATTTTATTTAAATAGAATTTAATAACATTTTATTTAAATAAAATTTATTTACTATCGATATTAATTCCCAGAGAATTTTTTCAATAACTATTTGATAATGAAAGAAATATTACGTACTGCATATAGGCACGTATGTATTGGAGCACAAAATTTTACTTTTAAATCTAATTGTCTTAAATTTAAGTTTGACATTTCAGTTCTCGCGTTTGACATTTCTCTCGCATATGGTATAAAATGACAATTCGTGTATAGCTCTTTGACATTATGAACGAAGTAAATATGATCATTCAGTTTAATGAGGGTAATAATTGGGCACAATCCTAACAGTAACTGATGTTTCAGGATATCCTACGGATGTTCAATGTGTATCCGAAAATTAGGATAACCCTATAAGATATCAATTGGATGTCTATGATTCACTAATTTTCTGAAAAAGGAGTATTTTTAAACCCTAATTTTACCAAAACTATTAGGATTTTGAGAATAAATAAATTATATGTATATCTATTAATTCGAACAGTTTTTATTGATTTTAGGTGTTTTAGGGGGGTTTTAATAATGTAAGGTGATGAAAAAAGAAAAAAAAACAAGGGGATAAATTGAATTTAATATTACATTTTAATTATATAATCAATAGGTAAGTTTTGACCCATTAGTCGTTTTCCTTGAACTTAAAAATTATGTTTATTAATGAAATTATTCAGTTGTATTTTTGTACAGAATTAATCGGTTTTATTTAATTTATTTGTCATATCTTGAACTATCACAAATAAAAAAGATTGTTATATGAATAAAAGTTTGTTTACGACAAACAAGATTTGTTGGCTTTGTATTAACAATTCCACTCTTTAATCTTTAATGTAATCATTGCTTTTTTATACAGCTTCTAGAATTAAATTAAATATTTCTTATATTGAACATGGTAGGTACTTATTGTTGACATGCATTATTTTTAACAAAATTTATATCCTATTTTAAAAAATCAATGGAATGATTCACTCAATGCATATATGTTTAATTAATATTCTTCAGAAGGAAGTAATTTTTATTTTATTTTTACTTTAGATCGTTCTAATATTTTAGATCGATCTTGCGGATATAATAATACATGAAAACTAGTAATTTTAATTTTTAGTAATAACTGAAGGAATCTTATATAAAAAAATACTATAAAATTATAGAATATACTGCAAAAAGAAGTATCTTAAAATACCTTGTCGTCTCTTTTTTATAAGATATTTAAAACATCTAATTTTGTTGATTTTCCATCATAAGGATCAATGGATTTTAAGATGCTTTTGATAACTTTTTCAAAACAACTTAGAAGTGACTATCATAGTATCTTAAAATTAAAAAAAAAATTTTTACGTTTTTTTACATATTGTACTTTAAAATTACATGAGTTTATTTAAAAAAATCAGTCTAAATAGGATATCAAAGGGGTAGAAATTAGAAAATATTCAAATCCTTCTTTCAACGATCTTTTCTCTTTTAACCGTTTAGATATTCTGAATATATCTTTGCATTAATAGGAAAATTATTATAATCATTTAAAAATTAAGTAACGATCATGAAATTTTTTAAATTTAATAAACATATATTTGTAATACAAAGTTATTTACAGAGTTACTAAATTCTAATTTGTAAAATTTTTATAATTGCTACATCAAAAATGTCTTAATTAATGGGGATTCTTTCAAATACTTGAAATAAAGGGGTTTCAGGGTCGCTGCATGAATTCAAATCTGACCTCAAAATTAAAAATTCAAAATGGTACGCTTCCCCACTCGGTGTAAAAAGTGAAGACAGGGACACAAAAAATGCGTTAACATATGTAATCATTTTCAATCCGCCATTTTGAATTTTTAGCTCAGTTTTGAACCCAAAATGCTCCTCCAATATCAACTTTCATAATTACCATCATAAATTAATCAGATCGTTTAAATTTAAAATTTTCTATATTTTGAAATATAATTTGAATTTTAAGTCCTCAACAGGCATCTGTTTCATAAAGGCAGTTTCTGTTTTGCAATAATAAGTAACAAGGTAACAAGTGTGGTATAAGAGAGTAAGGGAGAAAGTAAATTTTATTTGAATTCACTGATTCTTTTAATCTTTTTACTTTGACTTTCTGTGGCAAGTAAATAATTGTCGAGAGTATACCCCTGAACGTACGCACAAATTAACAAGTTCTTCTCTGTTATTTGTGAAGAAATCGTGTTAAAAAATTTCAAAAACAGTTTTTTAAATTAACGAAATAGTTAACTTGCTTGTATGAATAATGTATGTTTAAAAAGTACTTTTACTAATTCTATACTATGCGTAAAATATCTAAAATTGAATATTATAATTAACGACTATTAACTATATTTATACTGCGTTTTTAAAATTACCTGACCAAATTAAGAACTTACGCTTCATTTTAAAATATCCTTAAAAATATAATGAATCTTAATGAGTGCTTAGATAATTGATAAATATATGCTTTAGGACGAGAGAAATTTTTTTATGTACTTTTCGATGTTTAACCTTTCTTATGATTTCCATCCAAAGGTGTCTATTAAAAATCAGTTTTGAAATTACAGGTATAGGACTTTTGGGCATATAGTTAAATTTTCCTGAACACTTTTTCTAATGTAGTATTATGTTTAAAGACATTTAATATTAGAATCATTTTCAAATGAATTTTATAGCCATAAATGAAATTATTATTTTAAGTCCAAAAATTGAATTAATTAAGTTTCAGTTTTAAAAATAGGCTATTAAATCATTTTGATTTCAAGATCTAAATATTAACAGTTTAGGCTTTATTTTATAAATAGTAAAAGTTACTCTGTATGTTTCACCTTGATGTTTAGACTTTTAAGAAATATCTAATAATCTTTGATATTTAAAAATATCTCTTCGGTACAAAGTAAAAAGGTCTGTGAGATTCATTTGATTTTTAAACCTGATGCTAGCTTATACTACATTACAGGAAAAACAACCTCAAAGCAAATGTCAGTATTGGACTTTCTTCCTTACAATTAGAATATTGTAGATATACAAAACATACAAAAAATATGGGCGAATAAGTATCACATAAAATTTATTAGTTAGAATACCCTAGTACCTCTAAAGAATATTCTGAAAATCCGGATGATGGAGGAGTTTTTTTTTTATTTCACAATTAACATGTGACAACTGTGGTTTTAACACTCATCTGACTATATTATAGAACCAAAATTACTATCTTCACTGTTTTTCTTATCCTTGAAGAAACCGTGTTGGCAATATCTGTACAAGAGGTACGTCAGCTTTATGTATAAATACGTATATGTTAATGACATCTGCAACCCAAGAGTGTCATAAGAAGTAATTTCTTTACAATGCAACCATGCCCCCACGCAGCAGAAGAAGTTTCATCCTAAACATTTGCTAAACTTAATTTCCGGAATAATTCGCGAACCTGTTCAATATAAAAAGTAACTTCCCTTCATGATAATATTAACTTGTCAAAAAAATTGTCTAATTCAAAGTTTCAGAAAATATTGAACAGTATTTTTTCTACAAATATTTCTTGATAAAAAAAGTTATCTAAAAACAACATTGCTAACTTTTAGCTTTACTTTTAGCCTCGATTTTAGCTTCACTGTCATCAACATAAAAGTATCAAATTGCAACGAATTGATACCAAAAATGTATGAATCATATCAAAAGTTGATCCATATTTTTGGCATCAATTTGTTCCACTTTAGTATCAAATTTAATACTTTAAAAAAAATTGAATTCATTCCAATTTTTAAAAAATTCTATTGTCTCAATGAACCATCTTTAATAAATATTAAAACCAAACTATGCAATATTCGCTAAAACTTTGGAATTAAATATTTTCTGGCATGCGGAAATCAACTACCGAGTTTCACCAAGTATAAATATTCCGAAGATTCCAGATTAAACTTTATAGAAAATTTCTTGCGCTCTATGTGTACGCCGACCTTTTCTTATTCTGTGAATGAAAACGAGAAAACAATTTTTTACGTAATATGTTGGGATTAAATATTAAAACTATACTAAATATAATCATAATTACTCCGTTAAATTGTGTTTATTATTTTTTTACTTTCAACGCAACAGACGATGGAATGATCAAAACGATAAAAATGTGTAAAAAATTATAGCTTTCAGAGTATAATTTGAAAAGAAATGCACTTTCTAATGTATTAAAACAGGAATCATGTAATTGTGCAGAATATAATAAAAAATGTACAAAAGTGTTTGAAATTGCAGATAAAATTATGACACTTGGTACTCTTAAATATTTTCAATATCTCGAACATTTTTTTACTGATATTGCAAAAAAAAAAAAAATGAAAATTTGAACCAACTACGGAACTTTAGTGCCTTCTTCTTTTGCAACTGTTAATAAATCAGTTTCTAAAATTAAAAATTATATAATTTTATGAATTTTAAATAAATTGGTCTGTATCCTTTTATTTTGAGTGAACCTATTTGCTGATTATGATTTTTAAGTTTAGTTGAAACTTATGGAGAGATTGAAAGTTTTAAACTTGAGATTCAGCTAGGAATTTACGCATTTCCTGTAAACTTGTAAATTTTGCACGGCTAACTTATGAATAGCGGCAAAGTTAAGGCAAAATGTTGTGTCATTTGAGCTATAAAAAAATGAAGAAAAAAGAGAAAGGCAAATTATTTACCGAGAGAAGGAAGACTGTTCACCTGCCTTTATAATCCTTATTTAGATCTTCACTCTTGGTACCACTATCACCAACACGAGTTTTTTGTCAAGAAAAAATTAACAAAAAGCCACGTTTAAATTTTGTAAAGTAATAAGCACCAAGAGAACTCACGACGCGGCCATTTTGGTAGCAAGTAGCGAAACGTCCTGCACGCGTTTCACAGAATTTTCATAACTTGAAAGAAACTTGAATTTATAAATGAACGTGACGGGCAACAATCCAATACTAAATTGAATACTTTGGAATTCTTGGCTTGGTGTAAGTTTCGAAACGAATCGGTAGACTTCGGTTACCTTCGGTGCGCTGGCATTACAAACTTGCTTTGAGAGCGAAGACTTACTCTCTTCCCACCTTATTCTTACCTATATGTACAACAGATTTTTATGGGCCCCACTCTTTAAGCTCTATCCCTTCTCTCTCAGGTTTATAAGGCTCTTTCTAGGCTACTCATGCTCCGATCATCGTATCGCCAAGGCATACCTCGAGAATAGAATGAATTTTTTTTTTTTTATTCTCAATCACTTGTGTGATAATTATTTTTTAAAATTTAGGTGTTATGTACTTTTTTAGAAATACAAATAAATGTAAACTTGCAGTTTTAAAGGATTTCTCAACAAGTGTATAATCAAGTTCGATTGCGTCTTTATCCGCTATTTTCAATTAGACCACTCCTTTTCCCTACTGAAAATTCCCACGTAGGTACCCACGTAGGAATCTACATGGGAATCCGTATAGGTTCTTGTAGCATTAATGATTTTTGGATACGAATTCATCAAGGAATGATTTAAAAGAAGAAAATGAAAATAATAGGTCCTTAAAAAGAAGAAATTGACATATACACAAAAAACCTGAATTCATTTTTGTTCACTTAATGTGAACTTAATGTGTAAAGGAATGTAAGAACATTCCTTTTTTTATTGCCCTTTACGATCTATCGATTCTTTTTATAAACAAATAAACTCTTCTAGTACCGTTTACATCCGTTATATCAAGTATATTCATATCCATTCATCTCTTATTACCTCCACATCTTCATCTTTTGTTATATAAGTTTTTCTTTCCTCACTGTGAAAAAACATTCAACCAACAGATGAAATACCTATACATTTTCAGAAATTACTAATCCACACTTATGACTGTCAAATTCAATAGTTTTACCATCCATAAGCATTCTGTTTTGATATTTATTAGACAGTCTCAACCGCACTATAATTTTTTTATGGTTGATCAGTATTTTTAATCTAAGATATTTTTGGGTACCCTCAAACAATGGAAATTGTGGTAAATTTTGCAAAGATAAAGATTCATTTAACCTTTTCAGGTCCTCTAAATACAAAGCACTCTCGTAAGCATTTAGCCATCGTTTTTTATTTTCACTATAATCAGCGGTTGAATTCCATCCGACTTACTGACTCCTCGATTAATTCAAACATTTTTTTAACTTCAGTACACCAATTGTATTTATTTGTCAAAAATTTATTTCCCGATAAAATTTTTAATCTTATAAAACATTGTTTCAGGTATCTGTTGTCTTCCATATTTAAAATCTTTTCAATAAATTCCAATATTCTTTTAAAAACAATTGAGGCCAGCTTACAAGAGCCCATTTTGAATTGACAAGCGTATGAAGGTGTATTTTCTGGAAGTTGCAATACTTTTTTTTTAAATTAACTTAAATTTTCTCTATTTCATCCAAATATCTTAGACTCCATACTTCCGATGCATAAAATACAATACACTGATACACTAACTTTCAAAAAGTTTTTCAATTGATTCCGAGCCGTCTAACTTAATTCTATCTTTCAAATTATTTATTTAGAATAAGTTCCTAGATTTAACAAGCCCTCTAAAAAAACAGTTACATAACACTATAAATTTAAAAGTATCGAATCGCAACGAATTGATACCAAACATGTGGATAAAAAAAAATTGATTCAAATTTTTGGCATCCAATTTGGTACTTTAAAAAAAATGTGTTGTATACTATATATCTAATTATCTTTTTGAATTCCATTTGTGTCCAATTATTAAGTATTCTCTACTCTGCCGTACAAACTAGTAACTTTCATTTGTATTTAGGTTGTTTTTTATTTGCATAATTACGGGAAAAGCGATGACCTTAAACCGAATGTCACTTGTAAAATTTTTTCTTCAGCAATGTAGTACTGCGATTAAGTTTTAATTTAAATTGAATTTATTATATAACACGAAAAACAAAGTCTGAAACCGTTTACATATGTCTTAAACTGCAAATTATTAAAAAGTGGCCTATTTTCGACTTTAAAACTGAATTACATCCATTCTTCGAATTAAAGTCATACTTCCAATTCCAAAAATGAGCTAAAATTATAGTTGTAACATATAATGTTGTGCCATATATTAACAAATTAAACATACTGTTCATATTATAAACCATTGTTTTTTTAAAATTATAACAATTCTTCCTTGTGTATATATAATGTAGTTTTTTTTAATTTGAAAAATAGATAAATATCACATTAAATGCTGAAGAGCAAAATGTTAATTATTTATGATTTGTTTACATGTGAATTTTTAACATACTTATTCGGGAATTTTTGGGATTGCTGATTGTGGATTCGATGTTATAGTATTCAAAAATGCAAAATGGCGGATCCAATATGGATGACAAAAAAAAATTAAAAATTTCAATTAGATTAAATCGTGTCACTTGGAGGTTTTTTGGGATCGCTGATTACGAATCTGAACTTCATTTTAAAAAATGCAAAACAACCGATAACCTATGTAATTCGTTTGCTTCTAAGGTACCTTTCTTGGAAGCGCGTAATTTTTGTTTTATGTATTCTTTCGCATAGAATTTTGAATAAACATTTTATTGCAGCGAAACTCTAAAAAGAATTATTGTCTTGCACTAAAAGTTGAATAAGAATGATCTTGCATTTGTTTTTCAAAAAGCGAATTATATCAACGGGAGGCGGCGAGTTTTTTTGCACTTACATCAAAAGAAGTTTTATTGGTGTTGTCAAAATCATCTGAGAAATCGAAAGTTGTTTCGTTGTTAGATAAATCAACAAACATGGGAATGGGAACTGTATCTGAATGCGGAACTGTGAGTGTTACACGTTGAATACCTGCATAAAACCATCGTAGATTTTTACCAAAACTAGACGATTTGCCTAACCAAAGTAGATTAAAAAAATCAATAAATTAAATTATTAAAAACTTTATAAAAGTTACAAGACCACATATATCTTTATTTCGATAAATGGGTTTCATGAATGAACAGTTTTTGTGGTATCATCAAAAATTAAATTTTTATAACGTTAATTTATAATGCATTAACAAAATATTTATTTGTAATTTGAACAAACAATTTTACCATTAGAAATACAGCAAAAAATTAAAATAATATTAATTTTTGTCTCAAAGTCAAAACTTTTAATCAATTAATTATTTTCAAAGTTTTAGAATCTCATTTTTCTCAAAGTTGGTCTTACAATAATAAGCAAGAAAAAATAATAAAATTATTATGTAATATTGAAAGAATGAAGAATAAATTTTGAATAGAAATAATTAAATAGAAATATAATAAAGAAATTAATTTATGGTAAATTTAAATAATATTCCAGCTACTAAAAATTTTTGAGTGACCGCACAAACAAATATAAATTTTAAGAAGAATTATTTAATGCTTTTGACCTTTTCTCATAGAAAAATTTTGAAATTTTTAAGGGGTAACATCACCCAGAGCCTATACAAAATACGGTCTATTTCAATTAATTATTTTAAGAAAACGGTTCAGTACAATGTTGCTAGGTTTTCTGCAACGTTAAACACATGAATTAAACTTAATTTAAAAATAAAAAAAAATTTTTTGTTTTCAAAATGGCGCCTTCACAACAGTTCAACGTAGATCACGTTTTTTAAAACAACCTCTGCGGCCGGAAGCTTTTCTACGTTCCATAAGCACCTAGGCAAAAAATTCAAACGAATTATGAAAGAGGATGACATTTACTAGAAAAGAACATAGGATATTTAAAAAATATCAATTTTTCGCAAAATGGTATGACTTCGATGACAAAAATGTTATTTTTTGTTAAAAAATCAAGGTAAAAATAGTTATAAAACGGAAACGCATTAACCGATCTAAAAAATCCTATGTACATCGATAAAAAATGTTGTTCTAAAGCTACAGTCTAAATTTTAATTGAATCCGTCAAAAAATGTTGGAGAAATCCTTCCGGACAGTTTTTTTTACAATTTTTTCACTGTTGGATGTGTAAAGGCGCCATTTTGAAAAAATTTTTTTTTTGTTTTATGTTTAAATTAAGTTTAACCCATGTGTTTAACGTTGGAGAAAACCCAGCAACATTGTACTGGACAGTTTTCTTAAAATAATTAATTGAAATAGACCATATTTTGTATAGGCTCTGGGTGATGTTACCCCTTTATTCATTTATACATTTTTGTAAAAGGATTTTCTCCTAAATTGTGTTTTTAAACAAGTTATTAATAAAAATTAGGATCACAAAATAATTCATATAATAATTATTCTCGAAACGATTCTTTTGTTTTTTCTTAAATGTCCAGAATTTTTAAATGTGTTTTTTTGCTAACTTGTAAATAATCATGAAACTGTTGCTTTTGACCCATTTTATTGACATGCCACCCTTCAATTAATACATTATAATAATCGTAAGTTCCTTTCCGTTAGCAAATTATCTGCATTCATTTGTTTGTTTTGAAAATTAAATTTTGTGGGTTAAGTATTAGCAATTTTTATTTTTTAATGTCAAACTTTTTAATGTCGAAAATACTTTACTTATTAAATTGTCTCGAGTCTTTGGTAAAAAATCTAAAATTATCAAAAATTCTAAAAAATTCAAAAATCCGAATTTCTTAAAATTCAACATTTTTTCTTCTCTTTTATGGGATTTAGCTTCATTATTTTTGTGAATTTAGAAAATACTTTACTTATTCAATTGTCTCGACTCTTTGGTAAAAAATCTAAAATTATCGAAAATTATCAAAAGTTCAAAAATCCGAATTTCTTAAAATTCAACATTTTTTCTTCTCTTTTATGGGATTTAGCTTCATTATTTTTGTGCTTTTAGAAAATACTTTACTTATTAAATTGTCTCGACTCTTTGGTAAAAAATCTAAAATTATCAAAAATTCGAAAAAATTCAAAAATTCGATTTTCTTAAAATTTAACATTTTTTCTTCTCTTTTATGGGATTTAGCTTCATTATTTTTGTGCTTTTGAAAAATACTTTACTTATTAAATTGTCTCGACTCTTTGGTAAAAAATCTAAAATTATCGAAAATTATCAAAAATTCAAAAATCCGAATTTCTTAAAATTCAACATTTTTTC